TGGAGTGTTCTTTTTCCTCCACGTCTTAGTGAGTATTTTTATTGTTGCTAGTTTTTTTTTTTTTTTTAATATGGTCCATTCTCACTGGTGTGAAGTGGTACCTCATCGTGGTTTTGATTTGAACTTCCCTGATGATAAGTGATGTTGAACACCTTTTCATATGCCTGCTGACCATTTGCATTTTCTCTTTAGAGAAGTGTGATTACATACTTTATTTCAACCTCACCAACCCACCTAGTAGAGACCATTGCTCACATTAACAAAGATAAGGAAACAACCACAGGGAGATCAAAGGTCCGCAGTGAGAAAGTGATGCAGGAAGGATGGGAACCCAGTTTCAGTTGGGCTCTAGATTTATAACCTCAACCTTACACCATCAAGCTCCCTTCCCAGACAAGGAGCTGTGTCCTGTGCAGGTGTCTCTGGTCTGGGTCTGAACACTGGCCTAGGTAAACTCAGCTACAGTGCAAATACTCCTCAATCCAAGGCAACATCAGTTTCTCCTGACAAGGGAGATGGCAAAAGAGGGCAGCTACTGTCCCCAGGTTGAAATCTGAGGTGAGGACTTCCTACTGAAACAGGTGTGACACCTAGAATAATTTTCAAATCAAGGTTTTGGGTCTTAGATGGTATTTATGTCAGCTCAAACCCTTGCAGAACTGTAAATAAAAGTAAAGCTGCCTTCATTCCCTGACGATACTTGAGGAAGAAAAATAACCAGATCTTAGGGCCTGATGACACAGGGGTTAAAGGCAGCACTATCAAGCTACCAAGGTAACATTAGCCACTGCAGCAAGAGTTCGATCCTGGGCTTGCCAGGGATGGCCCAGCAGACCTTTCCTGCCTTACCTGCTCTCCCCTCAGCAGTGTATTTCTCTAAATCTGCCTGTTCTGTTCCCTACTCTGTCCCTGGTGAATCCTTTCACCACCCGCACCTCTGGCCTGCACCCCAGTTCTTGTATGCATAAAGAAATAAATCTTTTTTTAAAAAATAAAGTAACCAGATATAACAGAATCCTGTGCACAATGCTGTTATAAAGAGGATTTCATTTGGGAGGTGTTGGGGTTGCTTTGATCATTAGGTTTGGGTAAATGGAAGCAGACCTGGATTCCCTGTTTCATCACTGCATTTTTTTAGATGAATTTTCCAGAGATGCTTGAGTTTGCATCTTGACAGGTGCTTCCTTTTTCTGAAAATTTCTGGGTCCGGGGCTCTTTCCTGCCTTCTGAATCCCATTTGAATGTTCCTCAGCTAATCGCCTCTCTGGCATGTGTGAGAAGCCCAATCTCCAAGATCCCTAAGGATTCTTGCAGTAGGAAAGGGTGGAGTGGGAGGCAGACACACAGGGAGTTTCACAATGAACAGATGCTAGGATAGGGTGCCTCTCTACCACCCTTTCACCTCCTCCCTGTCAACCCTGAGCTTCTTTCTCTCCTCAGTTGAGATGGCCCCGCTTCTCAGGAAGGCCCATTTTACTGGCCCAGACACTGTGGTTTGACCAGAGTTCAGTTACTTCCCTAGGAAAATCCTCGAGATGGGACTTTTTCTGTTTAGCCCTGGACCTTGACCTGGAGGCTTAGAAAATCAGACCTCTGCCTTTATTTTACTTTTTTAAAGATTTATTTATTTATGTATACAGACCTGGGGTACAGGCCAGAGGTGCAGGGGGTGAGAGGATTCACAGAGTGGGGAGCAGAACAAGCAGATCCACTGAAATACACTGCTGAGGGGAGCAGCGGGCAGGTCAGGAGAGGTCTGCTGTGCCATGTGGGTCACCTCCGGGGCGGGGATCGAACTCATGCTGAAGAGGCTTTAGCTTCTCAGTGCTGTGCTTTAACCTGCTGTGCCACCAGGGAGGGCCTGCCTTTATTTTATTTTAATAAGATTTATTTTTATTTATTTATGCATACAAGAGCTGGGGTATAGGCCAAGGGTTAGAGTGGGGGTTTAGAGGATTCACCAGAGACAGAGTGGGGAGCAGAACAGGCAGATTGACTAAAATACACTGCTGAGGGGAGCAGCGGGCGGGTCAGGAGAGGTCTGCCACGCCATGTGGGTCAGCTCCCTGGGGATAGAACCAGTGCTGCAGTGGCTGCGGAGAGCTTCATAGTACTGAGACTTAACCCCCTACACCCCCGCGAGGCCCCTCTGCCCTTATTTTAATCCTTGGAGGGCCTAGATTGTGGTGGTGGCCACCCTGGCCTCACCTCACCAGGGGCTTTGACAGACAGAGAACTGAGTTCAGGTGCTTTCAGGCCGCGCCATCACTTTTTGTTTGCTTGCTTAAAACAACATCCATTTATTATCTTACAGTTTTGGTCTCACTGAGCTAAGTTTAAATGACAAGACATGGGGAGAATCTGGGGTTTTTTATTGCGTTTTCCAGCCTCATGAGGTCACCTGCTTCCCTTGGTCCTCCCCTCCCCTCCCCTCTTGAGTCCCCAGTGGCTGACTGAGGCTTTCTCACACTACACATTCTGTCTCTGTCATCACATTTCCTTCTCTGACTCCCAGAAACACTTACACTAGGAAATGAAATTGGATTTCCCAGAGGTGCCCCGGGGGAAAGGAGCTTCCAACCGGCCTCCACCCCAGCCTCTCCCCTTCCATAGGTTTCTGGAGGACAAATATATTTTTAGAAAGGGCTCCCCTGCTTTAAACAACTGAGACAGCAGTGCCTCAGAGTCAGGCTTGAGTCATGAAATCTGAGGTGGTTAGTGTGTCTGCCCGCCTGCCCCATGGGGGTCAGCCAGTCATGGCGTCCTGGGCTCTGCCCAGGCCTAGGCGTGGCCTTGGGCAAGCTGCCTCACCTCCCTCCCATCCCCCACCTCTTCCTCCTGCCAGCCCCAGCACTGCACACTGGCTAGAACCCAGTCTTCCGCACCCTCAAAAAGTACCCCCAAATAACTTGCCTCTCACACCCCCATTCTCCCATCATCCTACAGATGTCAGGATTAGAATTCTTTGGGAGCAGTGTGTGTAGTGGCTCAGAGATCAGCCCTGGAACAGATTTATTTGGAGGCTTGGGACAAGTTTTTTGAGATTTCTATGTGTCAGTTTCCTCATCTTTAAAAAGGGCTGATGATTTTAGTCATGCCTGACTGTCCTGAGAGTTCAATGAGTTAATCATTTATAAGATGCTTAGAGAACCCTCTGCTCCATTGAAATTGCTCAGTAGGATTTATCCATTATATTACTGCCGTGGTAGTGGTCTTCTTGTCAGGCTACTGCTTTCTAAAGCTCTTAGGTATACAGTAACGGACGCCACTGATATCATAACTCAGCTGTGGGAAGAAGGCTCTCCAGGCCCCAGCATTGGAGCAGAGATTGAATGAAGTCACTAGACAGAGTTTCTGCCTGGGAGTGTGCCTCTTAGCCCTTGGGCCAACCCCCCCCCTCCACCCCCAGCTCATATCAAGTCAGATCTTGGATCTTGATATCCACTTAGCTCTATGTAGAGAATGTCCCTGGAGACCCAGGAGACTGACTCTCCGGGAAGGAGACAATTAGGTGAGTCTCAGTGATATAGCTCTTGGGTACCTCCAGTTATCTCTGCTTCCATTGTGTTTAAACCAAACCTGCATTCTTAGAGCTCCTCCTCCTCCCCCTACCTCTGGCATCTTGGTCTCCAGCCTCAGGCTAGAGCCTGGCAAGGTAGGCTGGGCAACTCGGGGAACTGGAGTTTCCAGGGACTTGGGGTACACAGAGAACTTGCCCTTTGGGTCCCTTTTAGGAAGTGGTGAATCTTTATTGTCCCAGCTGACTGGCTGTCTGGTAGGGCAGGAAGGGCTGATTTCAGTTGTGTCTTCTCCTTGTCCCCTTCAAAGCCCAGAAGCTCACGTAAAGGGCTGTGGCTGTATTTTGACCCCCGGACTTCGCCGGCAAACCTGGTCTCTTTTGAATACATCATTGGACTTGTAATTTTCTCCTAAAGTCACATGCATGGGGAAAAGTAATCACGATAAATTCCATGTTCAAGTTCATAAGTTTCTGGTTATTTGGTATTTTGACTACAGAGAAGGTCCCTCATGCCTTGTTGAATGGGTGACAGTGCTCCTTGCTTGGGAGGGACAGAGGAAGTCCACGGGGATCCCTGCAGTTGGGAGGTGACGGCTGTGGAAACTTGGAACAGGATGTAAAATTCTTATCAATGTGTGTTAAGAGTCACGAGGGAGATTGCTTGAGAAAGTATGAATGGCTCTTCAGTCCAGAACACGTAACTGAAGGAAGTGGCAGGGCTTCCTATGGTCTTCCCCGGGGGGAGGGACCGCGTTTGTGGAGCAGTTACAGAGTGCTGGCCTCATTACTCCACAGCATAGTCCTAGATGACGGGTACTACCATGAGTCCCATTGTACAGCTGAGGCGCACAGAGGCTAAGCAACCCAGCCAGTCAGTGGCAGAGCTGGATTTGTAGCAGGTCATGGGATCCTGTTGTCCCACTCTTCCTGCTCAGCCCTCAGGGCACATCAAACAGCCACGCACAACCATGGGTACTTTCGGCTTTAGGAAATCCCAAGTTAGAGAGGCACTGATGGTGGGGTACAGCTCTGGGGAGAGGAGAGGGCACCTGGCAGCCTCCTGTGCTCTGCTTGTTTCAGATTAGAAATTCAAACACTTGAGAGAAGCTGACTTGTTTTTCTCCTTCTCTCAGAGATAAGTTTTAGCTGGGGCTTAACCAAGTTCTCAGGGCCCCAAAAGGAGGAGAAATTGTGGGGTTGAATACTCAAGACCTGGAGAGGGTGGATCAAGAGAGAAATGGCTGCTGGGGCTGAAAGCCCCAGAAATGCTGCAGGAAACTCCAAGAAGCCACCCCAAGTCCATCCTTGGGGTGCATGAACACACACCACTTCCGTAGGCGTTTCTCACAGGAGAAGTGTTAGGCTGCATCAAACAAGGACACACTGCACAGCCTGGTTTCCATCTGTGACCTGCAGGATGGAGCAAACCCAGCTGGCCTTGCTCTCCAGCTCAAGGTGTCTCCTGACTTTTCTCCTGCAGATGGGATCTACTATGGAGACAATCGGTTTAACACAGTCAGTGAGTCAGGAACAGCTACGCTGAAAGCTCGGCCGAGAGTCCGGCCCCTGCTGACCTTCCTTCCACTGGTGAGTACCGTCTGCTCTGGGGGCTGAGGACCTACCGTGTCAAAAAGGATGGGCCCCCATCTGCCCTGGTCCCAGGGGGTATCAGTCTCACTCTGTTTATTCCTTTCCTTCCTGATGCTGAGAAGAGGCAGGTGAGCCTCAAGATAGGCAGGCTCAGATTAAGGATGTGAGTGTGTCAGCTGCTCAGGTTCAAAATCCAAGCAGAGGGATTTGTATGCAGAGGTAACATAGCAGTGGGCACTTCTAGCTAAGCAGGATTCATCTTCTGCAATTACTCACAGCTGCCTGCTCTTTGCCAGGCCCCGTGTTAGATGCTGAAGATGATGAAGATAATTGAGCCAGCATTGCTGCTCTAAGGCAAGAGACTAATGAGCAAACAGGAGCAGAGATAGTCCATCCAACCATGAGGGGTGGTGGGGGTGGAGTCACAGAGGGCTTCCCGGAAGAGGTGACATCTGCACTCTCTCTAAGGAAGAAGAGTAGTAACTCCTGATAAAGGCACTCGGGGCAGGTTTGGATGTGGGTCTGAAACTACAGGAAACCAAAAACTTCCTTCTGGATCTCATGGTAGAGTTTTTGTTCTTTCACAAGGAAGGGCTATTCAAAATAATAGCTCTGTGACTGATTTTCTTTACCTTGGTGAGAGTTCCTGGATTTTTTAGACAGTTAGACTAGGACTGTCCAGTAGAAATATAATGTGAACCTCATGTAATTTAAAATTTTCTAGTAGCTACATTGAAAGTAAAATGAAATCGGTAAGTTTGATTGTAATAATATAGTTTACCTTACCCAATATATTCAAAAGATTATTATACCTGAAATTTATCTGATGTCATAATGCAATGTCCCTTTAATAAAAAAAAAATAGATCATTTCAACATTTAATCAAGGTAAAAAATGCTAGAGGTGTTTGACGTTCTTTTGCTTTCATACTATGTCTTCAAAGTTTGGTGTGGTACTCAGTGAGCACACACATCCACTTCTGATAAGTGACATTTCCAGTGCTCAGTTGCTACTTGTGGCTGGTGGCTAAAAGGCAAGAGCCTAACAGTCAGCCCTGTGGATTCTGGGTTCACTCCTGTCTGTTAAAATCATCTGATTGTGATGATACTGTCACTAGGGTCATCACATCCTCTCTCCTCCCTGGACATTTGTCTGCCCATACTAAGGAGGCCCCTGTCCTCAGGGACCTGTCATCGCACCCTGCCTCAGCCCCTGACGCTTGCAAGTTCTGTTCAGCACAGCCTGGCCCAGCCACCTCCCTCTGTCCATCACCAAATGCTTTTGGTTTGTCCGGCTTCACCAACCAGACCGGAGATTCTAGACGGGTTCATAGTGCATCTCCAAAGCCCTGATGTGGAGGGCTGGACACATGGACCACTAGGAAGACAGCTTTAATTAATGTACTTTCTGCTTATCAAAGCAATTCATGGACATTCTAGACAGTATAGTAAGTACAGCTCCAAAGGCAAATAGATACAAAGTCAGACCCTAACTTTCTAGAGTGCATGGAACTGGCATGGGGTTACTGAACTTATAAAGACAGATAAAACCATCTTAGTTTGATTTGAACTAAATTTTAATTTTAATTTTCTTTTGCTGAAGGTGAGTTAGATTCTCTCCCCTCATCTCCCCTCAACACACCTGTTTAGAATTACAATGGTGTGGGCCCACGGCTGGCACATTTACACCTTGTTGTTAAAGTATTGAAATGAGCAGTTGTTGCTTCTTGAAGATCTCCAGCTGTCCTGCCCAAATCTGAATCAGCACCTAAAGGGTGAATGTGGTACAAGTTCCCTTACTGTGACTGGTCAGCCTTGATTGGTCAGTCTTCTGCCCTCTTCCCTTCTGGTTTCATTCAGATGGGGGCCTACCCAGATCTACCCTCTACAGACTGGGCAAATCTCTGACAGGCTCAACAACATAAGACCAGGAGGGAGCGGGGCCTAGAGTGGGCTTGGCTTGGCTTGGCTAACTGGTCAGGCAGGCCTGGAGCTCAAGACTGTTTTAGGGAAACACTCCTTGCAGGAGTCAGACCAGGAGATGAGGCGTCACCCAGCACACACTCCCTCACTGGTGAGAGTTAGAGCGTGACAATTAAAATGGTGAACAAACAGCTGAGCTGGACGGGCCTCATGGGCTCCACAGCAGCCTCCCTTCACCGAGGCAGAAGATACCTCTGTACAGTTCACACTGCCTCTGGGTGCCCACCAGCAAAGTCAGTAGAGTGACTTCTGCAGTCCCAGTAGGGGAGCCCACACTGAGCGAGCACTCACCTTGTGTCGGGGCCTTTCCAAGGCCTTGTAAGTGGATATGACTTGCTGAAGGTCTCACAGTTTGTAAGTGGCGGCGTTGGTCTTTGAATCCCAGTGGTCAGGTTCCAGTCCAGGGTCCACATTCTGTAAGATCATCCTACTCTCCCTTCCACCCGCTTCCTAGAAGCTTGTGTCGCTCCTTCCTGTACCAGCCTGCAGAACCACCTCCATCCTCTGAACCTCTGTCCAAGAAACCCGGGCCTGCCAGGAGGCAGGTCTCTTGGCTCTTTTGGGCCTAGACCCTTTTGAGACGCTGATGGGGTTAGGAGCTACATGCACACGTTTTGCTTACAATTTCAGCAGAGTTCCAGAGTTAAGTCTCTGGAAGGCCACCTAGGAGACACCTGAAGGAACCCTTGTCTCAAAGGGTCCCCAGAAAAGCCAGCTTCCTCCTGGAGTCCTGCTTCTTCTTCCAGAAAGGGCCAAGTTCCTGCCCCCTCACTTCCTGCTCTGAGAACTCTGAGGAACTAGACCAGAATCATCAGCTTCAGAACTGGGTAGGACCTTGGCAGCCCCCAGGATGAGAACACAGAGACCTAGGGACAGGAGAGCCCAGCCCAGGCACATAGCTTGATGGTGGCAGGGCAGGACCCAAGCCCAGGCCTCCTCCTCCCAATCCAGTCCTGTCCACACCACTGTGGGCCTGGGCCAAGTGGGGGAAGGAGCCTTTCTTGCTACTTCCTTATACTGCCCAGGGGAGACTTGGCCTAGAACTCATGTCAAATCTTGTCCCTAGTTTTCATGAGCTTGGTGATAGAACAGCTGGTAGCAGGAAGGTTATATTTCTTTTTGGGGCTCCCCCATGGCTTAAATCAAATCATCTCCAGGGTAATGCATGTGAGGAATTAAAAATTAAATGCCAGTGTGGCAAATATAGGGAAACTGGCTGGACAGGTCTCTAGGGGTGCCCCTGGCAGTGTGCGCTCCTTGGGTCACCCCACCCTCTGAGTCAGATGGGCCTGGCTGTGCCTGGGGAGGTGTCAGACTGGACTGGGGCAAGGAACCCCGCCTGCTCTGGACCACCCTCAAGTCCTCTGCTGCCTGGAAGCTCAACGAAGCAGCCCAAGGGGGCCTCCCTGGAAGCACAGGGGTTAAAGCATAGCACAATCAAGCTATGCACAGCCCCTGAAGCATGAGTTCAATCCCCGGCCAGGGAGCTGACCCACATGGCACAGCAGACCTTTTCTGACCTGCCTGCTGCTCCCCTCAGCAGTGGATTTCAGTTGCTCTGCCTGTTCTGCTCCCCACTCTGTCTCTGGTAAAATCCTCTCACCCTCCACACCTCTGGCTTAACACCCCAGTTCTTGTATGCATAAGTTAATCCCTAAAAAAGATAAAAAGAAAGAAACAGCCCAAGTCAGCTGGATTTCTCCAACCTGAGGCCCAGCTCCCTTTGGGGCTGGGGTTGGAGCTCCTGAGTGAGCCGGCAGGTGGTCATAGCTGACTCTGACTGACTCACGTGGCTGCTGACGTGGACTGGAAGGGTTGTGGGGTGAGGGAGTTCTGTGAGCGCCCGTGCCAGTGGGCGGCAGGCCTGGAGCCACACAGATGGACTCCCTGCCCCCACTGTAGGCTCATAATGAGGGCCTCAGCCTGAACTTCCAAACCTCCACCCACACCCACAAACAGCTGCCTCCTGGCCATCCCATGGAGTCAGGGTGTGTGCCCTCCAGCTCAGGCTCCCTCAGGGCTGACTCAGGAAGAAGCCCCAGAAGTGGAACCACTTCTGGGCTGGAGAATTCTGGGGCTTTGATGCCTGGAGCATGGTCAAGAGACCCCATGGATTCCTCATAGTGTGGAGTCCAGGGATTTACACCCCAAACGCCTGGGTGGAAAAGAAGTTCTGGGATGGCAGGCAGGTCCAGAGGAAGATGGCATCTCTGGTGGCTTCTTCCCTGGCCCACAGGAGGGGTTATGTGCTATGGCAGAGGGTGGAGGCCAGGGTGGGAGAAGCAGTCGAGTTCTCTTGTAAAATGCTCTGGGCCCCCAACTTCAGAGAAGCTGGTCTGTGGAGAACCCTCACACTGCCCCTCAAAGCCAGGGAGACAGTTGGCTGAAGTTCATTCATCAGGGTCCATGAGGTGCCTGGAGGGGCTTCCCTGTGGCTGTCACTCTGCGTCCCACCCCCTCCTGTGCCAGTGTACATGATGCCCCCAGCATGCTCAGCTCTGACTCTGGCTTGGAGCTATCGCCCTCATCTTTTGCAGCTTCACAGCCCACCCTGAGGTGCCTCTGCTGGCCTCCAGGAGGAATCGATGAGGAGGATCGCGTTCCAAGAGATGTAGCTAAGACTCAGAGCTGGCTCACGTCCAAGGTCAACCATGGGTTGCCCATTGGCCCAGCCCCTGTGTCCCACCCTTGAGGTTTGGCCAGGTTCTAAGGAATCCCAGGCATGAGGATGTGTGTGTCTCAGGCATGAGAAGGCCAGGGGTGCAGGGTGGAGTCATCAATGGGGTAAGCTCCTGGGGAAGCAGGAGGCTAGCAGCCGACTCTAACTCCCTAAAACTTTGAGGAGGAGATGAATCCTTTCTCCTGCGGTGAGTGCTGGTGTCCCTTCCTTTTTCCTCCCTTTCCTTCCTCCTTTTGAACACAAATATTTGCAGTCCAAAAGGGTGGCAGAAGATTCCCAGTGACCTGCCCTTGACCATGGGGAGCCACTCACTGTCTTCAGAACCAAGAGGCAGA